GGGCAGAGCAGCTGGGGTGCTGCCGGGTTGGTCCAGTAGCGCCGAGGAGCAGCGCTGCGGGACCAACTAGCAGCGCCCCAGCTGCTCTATCACAGGCATCCTCGAGAAAAGCCTGGTCTGCTGGGGGGGGGCTTTGCTCCGCATCTCCATGGTCTGCTGGAGGGGGGGTCCCCGGGTCCCCCAGCAGACCAGGGAGACGTGGAGCAGATTTTCTCGCCCCGGAGGACGCAGGCGGCGGGACCTCGGCGCATCTGGGCGGTCCCGCCGCCCGTGTCTTCCGGGGCGAGAAAAGCCCCGTTCGTAAGTATGGATCCGACATAAGTCAGATCCGCGTAACTTGGGGACTGCCTGTACTCTGGCTCGATAGAAAAAATTCCCCTTACACAGCTGCTGCAGTACCGGAGTCGACAGGAGAGTGATCAGTGATTGATTTAGTGGGTCTTTACTAGACTTGCTAAATTAACCACTAGTGGATCGATTGCTGCAGTGTCCAGGCACTCTTTGGTGGAAATAACAAGCCCTCAGAATTACATGATTTATTTTTTGACTCAGTTTTGATATAATTAATAACATATTTTCTTTTTTTCTTCCCCTGTCCAGTCACACCCAGCGTGTCAGGGTCCTGACTTCACTTGGCATCTCTTTAACATAAATGGACACAGCCCACTAATTCAACACTTTCTCCAGAGCTATAAACTTGAACCACAGTCTGGACAAGACATCTTTATTCACAGGAGGGAGATCTGCAAACCTATACCATATCCTTATGGTCAACTCAAAGAATTTAGAGATAAAAAAACATTGTTAGGTTACATTTTATCCATTTCCCATGAATGAAGGATTATTCTTTGCAGCATATTATTGAATGTTTTACTGGGTTCAGTAGTAAATGTGTCAAGCTTTAGGGATTTCCCCCCTTCCACTGGGGAGCTACTCCACACACTAACAGACCTCATACTTTGTGTTTCCTAAAAACCAGCCTGAATTAATCATTGTTCTTTTTCATCCATTACTTCTAGTTCTGTCTTCTGACCACTTTACAAAATTGTCTGCTCCTTTGTATTTGCACCCTAATGTACTTAAAAAACATTTTGTTATTTCTTTTTGAGTTTTTGGCTAGCTGTTCCTCAAAATCTTTTTTTGCTTTTCTTATTACATTTTTACACTTGATTTGACAGTGTTTATGTTCCTTTCTATTTATCTCACTAGGATTGGACTTCCACTTCTTAAAAGATGCCTTTTTGTCCCTCACTGCTTCTTTTACATGGTGGTTAAGCCACGGTGACTCTTTTTTAGGTCTCTTGCTATGTTTTTTAATTTGGGGTATACATTTAAGTTGGGCCTCTATTATGGTGTCTTTAAAAAGTTTCCATGCAGCTTTCAGGGATTTGGCTCTAGTCACTGTGCCTTTTAATTTCTGTTTAACTAACCTCCTCATTTTTGCATAATTCCCCTTTTTGAAATTAAATGCCAGGGTGCTGGACTGCTGAGGTGTTCTTCCCACCACAGGAATGATGAATGTTATTATATTATGTTCATATATTAAACTTGGAAAGGCAGAATGACAGCTATTTAAAATATTGAGAAAGTGGCCTTCCTAGAGAGGAACAAGATATCTCATGTCCTAGGCTATGTCTGGACTGCAGGCTTCTTTCGAAAGATGCTCTTTCGAAAGCATCTTTCGAAAGATCGCGTCTAGACTGCACGCAGATCTTTCGAAAGAAAAATCCGCTTTTTCGAAAGAGAGCACCCAGCGAGTCTGGATGCTCTCTTTCGAAGACGGCCTCTTTACATTGAAGAACGCCTTCCTTCGAAAGAAGAACTTTCGAAGGAAGGCGTTCTTCCTCGTGAAACGAGGTTTACCGCCATCGAAAGAAAAGCCGCGTTCTTTCGAAATAATTTCGAAAGAACGCGGCTTGAGTCTGGACGCAGGGGAAGTTTTTTCGGGAAAAGGCTACTTTTCCCGAAAAAACCCCTGAGTCTGGACACGGCCCATAAGAAAGTAACATGGGCCATAAGGACTGTGAGTTTGTATAGTACATTTAACAAGAGAGATGTGATTCAGCAATATGACAGACACAGTCTCCTGCACCATACTCTTCACACTCACAAAGACATTTCATAGATAAGCTGACCTTTCCAGCACTGATTCTAATGTGAATCTTCTATCAGATGACCTGGGGAAGCTGTAAAGAGAAATAATGACACAGCTCACTTCAAAGGGCTTTTCATAAAGTTCAGTCATTTTGAATAAAGGAGCCAACATTTTACCTATTATTGTGAGGTGGTCCGATTTACATGCATCTCCGCACCAATCGGCTTTCCCCCATCTCTTAGTTTAAAAACTGCTCTATGGCCTTATTAATGTTTAATGCCAGCAGTCTGGTTCCACCCTGGTTTAGGTGGAGCCCATCCTTCCTGTATAGGCTCCCGCTCTCCCAAAAGTGTCCCCAGTTCCTAATAAATCTAAACCCCTCTTCCCAACACCATCATCTCATCCACGCATTGAGACTCTGAAGCTCTGCCTGCCTACCTGGACCTGCATGTGGAACTGGAAGCATTTCCGAGAATGCCACCATAGAGGTCCTGGATTTCAGTCTCTTTCCTAGCAGCCTAAATTTGGCCTCCAGGACATCTCTCCTACCCTTCCCTACGTCATTGGTACCTACATGTACCACGACCACCGGCTCCTCCCCAGCACTACACATAAGTCTATCTAGATGCCTCGAGAGATCCGCAACCTTCGCACCAGGCAGGCAAGTGACCATACGGTTCTCCTGGTCATCACAAACCCATCTATCTATGTTTCTAATGATCGAATCACCCACTACTAACACCTGCCTCTTCCTAACAACTGACATTCCCTCCCCCTCAGAGGTATCCTCAGTGCGAGAGGATGCCGCAACACCCTCTGGAATGGTTTCCCTCTGTTTCCACGGAATGCTCTGTTCCCTTGAGACTTTCATCCTCTTTAAGAGCACTGGGGCTCTCAACCTGGGACAGTACTACAGTGGGACAGTACTACAGTGTCCCGGAAAGTCTCATCAACATATCTCTCTATGGAAAGCTCTCAGTAACAGAATAGGAAGGTTATGAAAACAAATGTGAGGAGGAAGCAGCTGAATAAAATGGGAGATGAAATGCTGTCTAATTGAAAAATGAATGGAATAAATTAGATTGGTCTTAAAACACAAATATTTTTCTACTAGATAATGTGAGTACTTGGGGAGCAATGCCAGGAGGGAGGTTCAGCCTTTTCCATCTCTGTTCCCACTAATGAAGATCCTCTGCTATTTTAATTCTAACTTCCCTGACATAAAGCTGACCTTAAATATCCTATGCTATTGTAGTCCTGAGCCTCCATCTCCCGCCCATCTACACACAGCTTTATCAGTTCATCTCAGTCCTAACTTATCTATGATGTCTTTGTTGCTTTACCAAAAGACAAGATTTTTTTTCTTTTACATTTCAAATTACTGAGTCCACTCCAACCTATGCAGATGTGATCCAACAAGGTTTTAATCATATCCGCCAGTTGGACAAAGCTTTCAAAACAGTGTACCAGAGACACCGCAGAGAAATAAAGGATTTTGACCAGCACCAGTTGAAAGAGAAGCAAGAATTCCTCAGGTACAAAAAATGTGTGTGGTTTCAATTTAACATATTCTGTAATAATCTGAACACATCCAGTGATTTATTGGTGTCTGCCAAAGGTGAAACCTATTGCCTGACATTGATTTCAGAGGGTGTTGGGGAATAAGGAAATATGGGGATATTTTTGTGGTGTAACATTAGCTAATTATTCCAGAGGGATACAGAGATGTAATGTGATGTTTTACTGATGATGCTTTAGATGGAATCTGTGAGCTAATGGTCAACCAAAGGAGTTTGAGAGTATTGTTTTGTTTTGGAAAGGTGATCTTGAATTTTGTTGAGGGTAACAGGGTGATTAAGGGCACGTCTACATTGCAGGGCAAAAGCTGAATTAAGATACGCAACTTCAGCTACATCAATTGCGTAGCTGAAGTCAAAATAGCTTAATTCAGCTTTTGGCGCTATCTACACAACAGGAAGTTGAAGGAAGAACACTCTTCTTTTGACTTCCCTTATTCCTCATGAAATGAGGGTTACAGAAGTCAGAGTAAGAAGTCCACCATCTCGAAATAATTTCAATATAACAGCTTGCTGTGTAGACATGTACTTTATTTCAAAATAACACCTGTTGTTTCAAAATAATGCTGCAGTGTAGACATGCCCTAAGAAAGTTGGCTTGGAGGGGGCATTACATGTTTATGGATTTGGGGATTCAAGGGTTAATTAACATCAATTCCAAAGTGGTGGAGAAATCCACTCTTAAAATTTCTTTGATTGCTTTGGTGATTTTAGAAATCTTAGTCGAAGATAGCTTTGAACAAGTTATTTTGATTTTCTCTCTCGTTGTCCTTCCCATACTACAGAAAAGAGAAGCAATTGCTGTCAGAGAAAGGAGAGATGAAGAAGCTGAATCAAATGCTGACCCCTCTTCAGTTCTGACAAGACTTCAAGTCTGTCACAGAAGTGTCTTTATGCAGAAACAGCCATAAATCAAGCTGCACTCTGAGCAAACCAGAATTCAAGATTCCCCGACCATAAATTGGCATAAATGTCCATTCAGACTTTCATTTGCATCTGAAGGGTGTATTTTAGGCAGCCCACTCCAAAGCTTTCTTCATCAATTAGAACAGACAAACCTGAAAAAATGGGAAGAACTGAGTTCAAAAGTCTGACTGATTTCTAATCTCTTTGATCTGTAAAACTGGGCTGGAAAAATATCACAAGATTTCAACAATAGAAGTAATATGAGGATTAAAAAAAGTCACTGGAATATTTTTAATGGTTTCATAGTTTGGTTCTGTGTCAAAGATTTGAGCTGTTTTTTATTTTGTCTGAACTGTCTTGGCCCAAGCTGAAAGGCAGTGTAGTTGAGACTCAGTGCATCGCCTCTTGCCAACAATATGTGGTAATGGAGTTGGGCTGGCTAGCTGCAGACCTTCCCAGAAAGGAGGAAAGTTGCAGAAGGCTCCTCTGTGCTGGTGAACCCTGCAATGAATCCAATCCTGTGTCGAGTTTCCAGTGTATAAAATAGAATCCCACTCATTAGTGGTATGAGATTGTATAGCACTTTACAGCTTTGAAGTTCAAGTGCTGTAGATCAACATTATCATTTTAGCAGCACTTTTGGATGAATGGTAGCCTTTCCAGCTTGGTCAACTCATCTGCCTCCTAGAAGAGCCTGTCTATAAACAGGAAAAACAGGGCAAGATTTGTCTTTTGGGTTTTTTGTTTTTGTTTTTAAATGGGAGGCTAAAGCTAAGCCTTGTCTACACAGGAAAAATATCATCTTTATTGGCATAATTTAGCTATTCCAGAATAATTCCTCCCCACACTATTGGTGCTACGTCTACACTGGCCCCTTTTCCGAAAGGGGCATGCTAATTTTCAACTTCAGAATAGGGAAATCCGCGGGGAATTTAAATATCCCCCGCGGGATTTAAATAAAGATGTCCGCCGCTTTTTTCCGGCTTGGGGAAAAGGCGGAAAAAAGCGTCTAGACTGGCCCGATCCGCCGGAATAAAGCCCTTTTCCGGAGGATCTCTTATTCCTACTTCGAAGTAGGAATAAGAGATCCTCCGGAAAAGGGCTTTATTCCGGAGGATCGCGCCAGTCTAGACGCTTTTTTCCGCCTTTTCCCCAAGCCGGAAAAAAGCGGCGGACATCTTTATTTAAATCCCGCGGGGGATATTTAAATCCCCCGCGGATTTCCCTATTCTGAAGTTGAAAATTAGCATGCCCCTTTCGGAAAAGGGGCCAGTGTAGACGTAGCCTTGCAGAATAAAAGTGAACTTTTATTCTGGAATAATGTCCAGATGGGGAATATCTTATTCCATCTGGAAACAACAAACTGCAGCCAATGGGAGCTGCAAGGCTATGGACATGTAAAGTAAACAAAGCTGTGCAGTCCTGCCTCCCAAGTTTAGAAAATGCTGTCTTATTCCATAAAAGCTATGTAAAGCAATTCCCCCTCCCGCCGCCCAGGGTCTTAGGCTCCTAAACCCACATTCAGGTACCTAAATACATGGCTTGATTTTTCAAAAGTGCTGAGCACTCACACACTCCCATTTAGGAAGATTACAATTTGCTTTTCCATGTTTCATTTTCTGACATAGCAAATAACAGACATGCTTAAATATACCTCTGCACTATTGGGGACTGAGTTTGGGATTTTTCAAAAGTGCCTTGAAAGTTATTAGGATTTGTCCTGCTTCCACTCAAGTGGCTTCAAAAATCTTATCATAACTAAAGTCAGCAGCTTTGTTATTGCGCCATTCCTTTTCTATAGGGATAGGGATATATGTTATGAAAATACTAGAAGGCTGACCTGGCATTTCTTGGGTCCTTAACTCAATTAATTTGTTTTTTGAAAAATAATATGGTGGGACGATGGATGAGGGGTTCAATATGCAGGTTGACCTGGGGAGAGAGAACTACCCCAGTCTTCTCTCAGCACAGTAGCTTGGGGTCAGACAAGAAGAGCCTCTCTAGGGCTGCTGCAGCTCCAGCGGGCACAGCCGAGGGATGGGTGCATTTCCCCTGGCTGAGCTAGGTCTAGGTTCATCTGCCTCTTGTGTTTCCTAGCCAGAGTGAGGAGAGCAGCAAACTGTATACTTTCCCTGGAAGAAAAGCAAGCTATGTTCCTGTACAAATTGGGAGGGGGGGGATAAAGATCCCACCCACACTAAAGGGTGGCTTGGGGGTGGTAACCAGCCACTTTCACCTGCCTGGTGCCTCCTTCCCACCCCAGGGCCAGCAGCTGCTCTCAACCCAGCGAGAGCCAGTCAGGGCCGGGGACAGCAAGTGATGGAGAGGGCGGGGCCTCGGGGAAGGGGCGGGGCAGATCTTGGGTGTAAAAAGATTGGAGACCACTGAGAACGCTTCAGTCAGTCTCTGTCCCTCCCGCCCGACTCTACCATTCTGGGCTGTGGAAGGGGGGGATTCATAGCTTGAAACTCTGTCAGGGCCGCTGTACACGGATCGTTCCATTCGTGAGCAGCATCCTGCCGGGCGGGTGTATTTTAACCCAGGCCCTCAAACAGACCAGCGTTCTCCCGGCTCCCTGCCTTCCCCTCTTCCCCAGTGGTAGAATCCAACCTCTTTCTTCCAGGTGGTAGGGTCCGTTCGTAAACAGCTGTGGACGTCGCCGCTGTCGGTGACCACTGCGCGTGCGCGAGACAGCGTTGTCGTGTCAGAGAGGGGCAGATCTTGGCGCGCGCTCCCGGGCAATCGCAGACCTTCGCCTCAGCCACTTTTGGCGGGAGCTTTGAGGCGGGAAAGGGAGACGCCTTTATCCCCGACCCGTCTGCAACGAACCGCCAGTAACGGCCGGGCGGGGCAGGTGATCTGAGACTGCGAGGCAGAGAGCGGCCAGTTCAGCGAGCGTCGGATCCAGCCCGACCTCGCTGCGCCTGGCCAGAGCCCGCGTGCCCCACACAGAGAAATCGCGCTACGGCCCCTGGGCTTGAACAGGAGATCGGCCTAGCAAGGGGGCCTGGTCTAGTTAGGTTAACCTGGCCCCCGCTGTACTGACAGCTAATTCTTCCATCCACATAGCGCCTGCCTCCTGGAGAGGTGGATTAAATACAGCAACGGGGAAACCTGCTCCTAACATAGGAAGCGGCTGCATTTCACCCTCGCTGTAATGGCGCGGTTGCTGTGCTGCAGGTGTTCCCTGACAACACGTAGGATTTATTATCCTGGAGGTGTGGAACTAAATATAAAGGGGCAATTACTCTGGTTAAGACTGGAGCACAACAGAAAAGATTCACACTTTTCCCTTGTCAAGACACTCCCACCCCTCCTCTCCCAACCCCACGTTCTCTCTCAACCTTCGTTTCCCATCCTCACACCTTGCTCCATATTGCTCTGTGTGCTTGGGGCCCTTATCTCAGTGTGCCAGGGAACAATAATGCATGCCACACTTGTAAAAACAAAATACAGGACTATGTAGCACTTTAAAGACTAACAAGATGGTTTATTAGATGATGAGCTTTCGTGGGCCAGACCCACTTCCTCAGATCAAATAGTGGAAGAAAATAGTCACAACCATATATACCAAAAGATACAATTAAAAAAAATGAACACATATGAAAAGGACAAATCACATTGCAGAACCCCCTTCTGTTCTGAAATTTGATTTGTCCTTTTCATATGTGTTCATTTTTTTTTATTGTATCCTTTGGTATATATGGTTGTGACTATTTTCTTCCATTATTTGATCTGAGGAAGTGGGTCTGGCCCACGAAAGCTCATCATCTAATAAACCATCTTGTTAGTCTTTAAAGTGCTACATAGTCCTGTATTTTGTTTCAGCTACACCAGACTAACACGGCTACATTTCCATCACTATTGTAAAGACAAAACATTCTTCAAGATCAATTTGTCTTCTGGGTGCCTTTGTGCCTGATTTTTGGAGTTGGTCTGTGTAAGTTTTTGGGTATAACTCCAAGGTGGCTGGGGGGCAGAACCACATTACTATAGCAGAAGCACTGAAAGAAAAGGGCAGTGTTTCTACTTCACTTCTGAACAGGGTGCATTATAATTCCCCCTACATTCCTTGCTGGCCAGCAGAAAGATACAGTTATGGCTCTTCTTACTCTGCCAATTTTGCATTGCTATGTATCCAAAGGGGAGTAGTCACCTTGCCCTTTTGAATGCAAGTAATGCAGTGCATTTCAAAAACAAGTAGACCTGTGGTACTTTAGGATATGTCTACACAGTAACATGTATCTTGAAATAAGCTACACAATTTGAGCTATGCAAATTGTGTAGCTTATTTCAAAATAGCTTATTTTGAAATTTGGTGCTGTCTACACAGCACTAATTTAAAAATAAATTGCTATGCCTGTATCTTCGTTAATCCTTATGCAATAAGGTTTATAGGAAGCTGGAATAAAAAACACATTATTTCAAATGAATTTCCAGATAGCAGGCATGCTGTTAAGACATGCAGAACGCTAGTTTGGGATAATGGACATTATTCCAAAATAGTGCCATTGTGTAGACATACCCTTAGGCTATGTCTACACTCGCGGCTTCTTGTGTGAGTAATATGCAAATGAGGCTAAGCGTGGAATATCGCTGAGCCTCATTTGCATACCTAATGAGCCACCTTTTTTTCAGAAGAGGCTCTTGCGCAAGAAGGAGCATCTACACTGCACCTTCTTGCGCAAGAAAAACCTTCTGGCACAATGCCGTTACACCTGTTACTTTTTAGGAAGAACGGCCTTGCGCAAGAAGGTGCAGTGTAGACGCTCCTTCTTGCGCAAGAGCCTCTTCTGAAAAAAATGGTGGCTCATTAGGTATGCAAATGAGGCTCAGCGATATTCCACGCTTAGCCTCATTTGCATATTACTCACACAAGAAGCCGTGAGTGTAGACATAGCCCTAGAGACTAACTATAGAATCATGAGCTTCTTCAAATGAGCTGGAGTAGAAATAACATAAACCAAGATATATAACAAAAAAAAACAAAAAAGTACTGGTCAATTGTAGGACTGGTGCTAATTAGGCTAATGAAATGGACTGGAAGTGTCCCATTCTTAGCCTTTGATGTAAAAATGCAGTTGTTAAAGGCAGAGGAGACTGGCTTTAACATGCAACGCATTTCAAGACAGGGAAGGGATTTATTTTTAGAAAGTGCAGAGAGGGGTTTTTAACATGTCCTTTGCCTTTTACATTATGTTTTTCTTCTTCTAGTATCTGGAGACAAAGGTCTAATTAATGTTACTTCAGGAAACACTTTACCGTTTGTTAGTAGTATGTTAAAGGAAAATGTATACAGATGACTACATTTTCATCCCTGTTCAGGTGTGATGAGAGGATAGTTTCATTTGTCCATAGGAAAGAAGTTCATTGTGGTACCATATGGAGATGTTTTGGGAAAAATTAATTTACAACTCATTTTAATATTTTATTAGAAAGTAAGATAAGTTACTCCATTTTATTTTTACTTCCAAAGAACTACCTCTAAAATTACACCAGGTTTTTTTTCCCTTATTTTTTCCCATCTTCTCTAACCAGCAAGACTCACCGGGTCACATCACTCCTTCCTCCAGAAAGGGAAACAGAAAGGGAAATTTGGGCATAGTAGGTCTTCTGAGAGCAAAACAAGATTCTTCCTCCTCCTTTAGTGGGGAGCTAAGCACCTCTACAACACACCTAGCCCCTGCTGACACCTGTAGTGAAGGACAAAGTTTAGAATCTGAATTTGGATTCTTAAGTGGCAGCATGTTAAGATTCCACTACACTACTGGGCCCTATTAAGAATACTTTATAATTATTTCTACCCTGATGGGATGTTTGCTTACCTTTTTCAGTACTAACAGGTCATTGCCTGCTCTTTCACAATGAAAGCCATGGAGGATCAAGTGGTGCAAGAAGAACTAGGGTACCAGGATGATGAGGTATTTATGGATTGTGGAATTCTTTTTATAGAAGAACTGTGTTTCTTTAGTTGGGGCTCATGAAAGACAATTGGAGGGTTGCAGGTTGGTAAAATTGATTACACGTACAATCTAAAGTAAAGAAAATCTTACTCCCCTGCTTCTCCTTATCCTTCAAGATCAAACTTTTGAAACATGCAAGTGCATTATGTAGGCTTTAAGGATGTTAAATTGTAGTTATCTGGTTAATCGTATAGTCAATACAATTTGTATCAAACACACGATTAGTTGATAAAGACCACTCTGCAGAGCTATAGTGGGAGTAGCTCCTGGAGCCATCAGGCTCTTACTACATTTAAAATGCAGAGGCGCAGCATCCCAGACCAGCACAAGCCAGGAATGCTTGGTCCTGGCTCGTGCCAAGTCCAGCAGCCTGTTCACCACGGCCTGACAAGGGTTGCTATCAGAGCAGCGCCTGCGTGTGGCCAACCCGGCCCACCGGGAACAGTGGGCTTAGCAGCAACAACCCCGTCCATGGGGGTGGCCCAGTGACCCCACAGCTAGGGGCTGCTGCTGGAGCAGTCTCCCCTATCCCTATCCCGCTGCCTGCAGACTGCACCGCAGAGACGGTGCTGAGGAGAACTGGCTTTTAAGACAGCTCCCCCCAGCACCATCTCCTCTTCCCCCTCTTTCTGCCTTTCATATAGAGGCAGCGGGGGCGGGCAGGGGGAAGCGAGTAGTCAGGTACTCCACTTGATTACCCAATAAGCTAATGCTTATTGGGTAGTCGAGTAGTTGACTACTCATTAACATTCCTAGATTAAGCTTCAGAGGGACTTACCTCCAGCAACACAGAGCCAACAGTAGATCTCCCCACACTAAACTTGTGTCCCACCAAATGATAGCTGTCGAAGGCGGCCAGCTTCCAGAGGGCAATAGCCACCCTCTTTCTTCTCCAGCTGGATGGCAGGCCGCAGGTGAGAGTCCTGTCATTGCAGGGCAGGGCGAGCCAGGTACACAGCTCCTGGAATGTGGCCTTACACACTCGGAAGTTTTGGAGCCGAGCCTCATTGTCCCATTGCTCAATGACGAGCCGGTCCCACCAGTCTGAACTTGTGTCCAGCCTCCAAAATCGCCTCTCCTGGAAGAAGTCTGGTGGCAAAGGCAGTGTTGCTGCAGCCTGAGCAAGGGGCTCAAGGCTGGGTTCTGAATCCAGATCTGGCATGACCATGAGCATCATGATGGTCTCATGTAGATGCAGCAGAACTTGAAGCATTACAGCGTGGGGCCATTGCCTGCCCGGGGGCAGCTCCGGCTCCATGGCAAAAATAAGATTGTAAAGCACAAATACCAAGCAAAAACCAAACTGCTGTGGTGTCCCAGAAAGCAGGGCACCCTAAGCAAGCACTGCAGAATCTTTGCTGTCCCAGCTGCAGCAGCAGAGGAACTGCTGTCCAGGGAGGTCCCTTTAATCACGCATCTCTGCAAAGAGCATGCTGCAGGACCTGGAAGTTGAGGTGCGGCGCTGCGGGACCAACCCAGCAGCACCCCAGCTGCTCTGCCCCAGGCATGTCCGATTCAGCCGCTGCTGGTCAGTTTCAACAGCGGCTGAATCTGGACACCAGTTCCGACTTACATACAAATTCAACTTAAGAACAAACCTACAGTCCCTATCTTGTACGTAACCCGGGGACTGCCTGTAATCAATACAAGTTTTACTTTTAGAGTAAAAGTAGGGAGATCACAAACATTGACTTTGAATAAGGGGTTTCCAATATGAAAAATTTGAGAAGCACTATAGTAGAGAGTGAGAAGAAAAAGAATCATGATACTGCTTTGTTAGAGTTTCTATATGATTGCTGGCTGTGTTTTTCCAGATAGTTACAGAGTATGACAAGAAGAAATGCTGAAATCCTTTTGGTTCTTTCTTTTTTGTGCCTATATTTGTAGGTAGTAGTAGGATATGTACTGTTATGAAAAGCAGTCCAGGTTTAAGAATTTAAAACTGCTGCATATTAAATTAGATGGGTAACAAAGGGAGATACAAGTGGTGGGGGAAAAATGACCAAGAATCGTCTTTCCCCTTGTCTCCTTTAGGAATCCTTATTTCAGGATATTGACTTGTTACAGAAACATGGAATTGTAAGTATAAGTAATAAATATGTAGACAATTCTGCATGGGATGTTATTTAGGAATGATTCTAAAAACCGCTGATCCATTGTGATGTGCATAAGAATATTTCTCCCCATAACAACTTCAAAGTAAGAATATGTCTATATTATGAGCACTATGGCAGCACAGTTACAACACTGTAGTAATCTTGCCGTACCATTGTCGTGTACGTGCTTTCTGCAGTGACAGAAGGGGTTATTCCATTAATGTAGCCTCTCCATGTCCACGAGTGAGGTAGCTACATGAACCTACGGATTTTCCTGTCAACACAGCTGCATTAATACTGGCCATTATGTTGGGTCAACTATGATGCTTGGGTGTTAATTTTTCATACCCTGAGTGAGTGCCATAATTATGTCAACCTAACTTTTAAGTATAGACAAGACCTAAGAGACACAGCAGGATTGGGCACGTTTTGTCTTTTGATAGTTTACATATTAAGAGCCAAATTTTCAAAAGTGCTTACCAGCCAGCAACTCTTGAAAACGTGGCCACTTATTTAAGTGCTTAACAAAGAGCAATTGGGTGGTGAGGTTTTGTTTTCATCTTTGGATTTTTAAAAAAAATCTGGCATAGATTGTTTCTGCACTAGCCAATACCTATCTATAATTACTCCAAAGTCTTCTGTAACCCCTACATATACTAAAGTCGGAACTGCAAATGAAACGGGGATTTAAATTTTCCCCGCTTCATTTGTATAAACATGGCTGCCGCTTTTTTTCGGCTCGGGGCTTTGCCAGAAAAAAGCGCCAGTCTAGACGGGGATCTTTCGGAAAACAAAGCCTTTTCCAAAAGGTCCCTTATTCCTCTTTAAAATCAGGAATAAGGGACCTTTCAGAAAAGGCTTTATTTTCCGAAAGATCCCCGTCTAGACTGGCGCTTTTTTCTGGCAAAGCCCCGAGCCGAAAAAAAGCGGCAGCCATGTTTATACAAATGAAGCGGGGAAAATTTAAATCCCCGTTTCATTTGCAGTTCCGACTTGTCTCATCTGCATCCCTTTTCCATAAAAGGGGTGCAGTGTAGACACAGCCCACGTGGCTTTGTTATGCTGTTCTCAGAATTGTGGTGAAATGGGAGAAGTTCTGGCTGGCTGGTGAAATTGGAAGCAGTTTTCTTGCTGGTTAAAATTCCTGAGTAAACTACACCAGTAGGCTTCTCTCAAACTGGAAAAAATAATTTGATTTATATGTAGAATAGTGGTAGAAATGTAACCGTGTTAGCCTGGTGCAGCTGTTTTTTGCGGTCCTGTTTTTTGATTTATATGTGAGTGTTTATTATACCCCTTCATGGCTGGCTTTTCTTCACTCATTCTTTCACCATACTATGCACAAGCTAAGCCCAAAGAGAAGACAGAAACTTCTCAATGGAAGCAATTAGGTTATCCATTATTCTCCCTCGTGTCATCTGCAGACAGATCCTGTGTATAATTGGATGCCACATCCAAGTTCATAGTTTTTACCCAAAGAAGGGATTTATCTTGAGGTGATAGTTTGAAGCAGTGTCCAGTAAAGCGTCTGCTAATATTTTCATATAAGAAACATGCTGCATTGCCTCTGTTTCAATACATTTCCCTTGAACTCATGGAACACCCATTATATTCAGAAACACAGTGAGTCCATTCCCACTCAGGAGACTCTCTAACCTTTGACAACATGCAAGTATATTCTTATCTGGACATACATAGAACATTTAGAAACCACAAAGCAGTCAAAACTATTTCTTAGTAAAAAGAAAGATAGAGGTGAATGTACAATATAATGGGCTTCAAAAGCTTTCTTCACCTTCCAGTCATAGCATTTCATGAACTAGTGATCACAGAATGTGAATTTTCTTCACAGAATGTGGCTGATATTAAAAAGCTGAAGTCTGTAGGAATTTGTACTGTCAAAGGGATCCAGATGACAACAAGGCGTGCACTGTGCAATGTGAAAGGGCTTTCTGAAGCCAAAGTGGACAAGATCAAAGAAGCAGCCAATAAGCTAATTGTAAGGAAATCACATTTTCAGCTTATAAGTGCCCCCTCCCAAAATACTCTGCAGCATTTCCCATTGCAAGCATTAGAACAATCATGATTACAAATGATTGTGTTGATTAGTCTGAAGTCATAAATATTACTTTATAATCAATAGTAGCAGACTGACAAGTATGATGGCCCTTGACAGATGAGACATCAATGAGAAGAAATGGATTTTGGCTGAGGATATCACATTCTCCCTAAGTATCAGACCTAACTGAATATTTTATTTTGGTATTCCCCTAGGAGCCGGGATTTTTGACTGCCTTTGAGTACAGCGAGAAACGGAAGATGGTGTTCCATATCACCACTGGAAGCCAGGAATTTGAGTAAGTTTATCCCTGTTTAACTTCTGCCTTCCCCGGATTTTTAGAGTAATCATATTCCTTTTCTCCAACTGGCCACAAAGCACTATTAGAGACAAATTTACAGTTAGAACATAGTGGGTGCACTCAGAAAAAAGCAAGTGGAAATGAGTAATTTAAGCCTGCTCAGAGTAATGCTGGGTGACACTGGTAAAAAGACTGATTCCTGCTTACACTACAGTCTCCGCCAGTGGTACTGCAATGATGGTGAATTGTAGAAGCTAAATTTGCCTGTGTAGACTCAACCTTTTTGTATGCTAATCAAGCTCACATACGATAGTTTCATGTCAATAACATGCCCCTCGAATCTAATTTCAGATAATAAAAGTACTAGCTTACTCTATTTATTTTGCTTGAGGTTTATGCAGGAAAACCTGAAAAAATTCCCCAAGTTCATTCACTTTCCCGGAAGAGACACTGTATATGTGCAATATGGTGAAATGATTCAGCAGCAAAATCCTTATCTGAATTAGAAAGGACTCTTTGACTCTTCTTCAAAACGTAGGAGCAAATTGTTTGGTTCTTGGATGCACGTGCACAAGGAGGCTTTCCTTCTTTGTGTGTGCTGCACAGTTGCTAGGCATAGTTACATTGCAGGTATTGTCTTAGTTACAAATGACTGCTTCTTCAGGCACCCCCAGTTTGTAAACCATCTTCTGGGTGACAAAGAGAAGATGGGTGTCTTTACACTCTGTTTCATAGCACATAGTAGAATAACTGACTGCACAGGGCAGCACTCCTTACACCAGGGGTCTCCAACTTTTTTATGCTTGAGATCACTTTTTGAACCTAAGTGCAACCCAAGATCTACCTGAAACCCAAATTTCCTTGCCCTGCCTCCTTTGTGCCCTTTCTATGAGGCCCTGCCCCTGCTCATTCCATCCTCTCTCCCTCCCTTTCATGAGGCTGAGACAGAAGGTTGGGATACAGGCTCTGGCCTTGGATTAAGGGATTTGGCGTGTGAGAGGGGCTCTGAGCTGCAGGCAGTTGGAGTGTCGGGGGGGGGGGTGTTTCTAGGTGCAGGCTCTGGGAGGGCATTTGGATGCAGAGGTGGTAGGGGTGTCAGAGGGGGTTTATGATTGGGGTAGGATTTTGGGATGTGGGCTCCAGCTGGGCACTGTTTACCTCAGGTGGCTCCTGGTTGGTGGTGCAGTGGAGCTAAAGCAGGCTCGCCCTTGCCTTGGCCCTGCACCACTCCCAAAAGCAGCCAGCAAACTCCCTCCCAAGTCCTGTTGTGTCTCCTCTCTGCTCTGTGGAATTAGGATACAAAGTGGGAGAGGAAGTACCTTGACATCAGCACCTTCCTCTTCCTTCCCTGCCCTGCACAGCAAGCAGGAGGCTCCTGAAGGGACACCGTAGAGTGTAGACATATTTTCCCCAAAAAGATTTTCTCTCTTCTATCTCCCAAATGGCCACTATTGTAGATTTTCTCATGAGCACCTATGAAAGGGGAAGCTGACACAGATTTAACTACCCGTATACCAGGAATCATCTTATGTCCCTGCACCATATCACATTGTGAGTTAAGTGCAGGGCCTTTTGAATGAGAAGAGCTTTTCTTACAGTGGCAAAGATGACATTTTGACATTAGGCCTTTTGAATGAGAAGAGCTTTTCTTACAGTGGCAAAGATTCCCCTTTTGACATTGCTCTTTGACTGGGCATTTCAATATTTTTAATTCTTTTTCTCCCTTTAGTAAACTATTAGGTGGTGGGATTGAGAGCATGGCAATCACAGAGGCCTTTGGAGGTGAGTGAACCATATTATATGGATTTTATTGAGTGGATTACCAGTAAAGAGCTGCAGCAGATGTTTAGGTTTTAAAGCAAGCTACATTTTTTTCTATCAAATCCTTGAAAGGAAACCCATGGAAGCTTATGCCCAAATAAATGTTAGTCTTTAAGGTGCCACAGGGATCCTTGTTGCTTTTGCTGAAACAAACTAACATAGTTACCCCTCTGACTAATAAAGATGAGATTATTTTCATAGACTCACAGAAATAGATGTTGAGCAGGAGAGAAAAGCTAGGGCCACAGGATATGCTGGCCCTGCAATCAGAAGCATGACTACAGCAAATGTAGACATATACAAGCTTGTTTCATCTAGCTAGCTAGCTTGAATAAAAAGCTGGCCTGAGACCTTGAATATGTACTTGAGGGGCTAGTTGGTGAAGCTTAAAATCTCTGACTGCAGTGTCAGAACAAGAACAGGGAACATGGCCTTGAGGAAAAATGAGAAAACTGTTGGGCTAAGTGCTGACTGGAAAAGGGACTTTGAACTGTGAGTAAAGACACTGTCTCTTATTGTTTGATTCCGGCTGTATTCAAGAAAACAGGACTTTGTACGGCCTTTGAAAATACATGGGATTTCATCAAAAGAAACACCTGACTCCTGGCATCTACCACAACTCATATGATCCTGAACTCTGGCTATATGGTTAGGTCAAAAAAATGGTAATAGTATATTTAACTTCCAACTGAATGCAGTTACCATGGACAAGTGGAAGTGAACTTATTTTAGCCATGACACCTCTCACAGTGCAGCACTTCTAAGCCCTGCAGTTCATACATACAGTTTGCACTGTACAACATATTTATGATCCGGGAGTTGAAAGATAGATAGCAGTACAGGTGATCGAGGTTTTATAAATGAGAATGTATTCTTATTGAAACAACACATGTGTTTGACAAACTGAAAAAACTTTTCCCTTGTTTTTTCTCACTAAAAGAATTCAGAACCGGTAAAACGCAGCTTGCCCACACCCTTTGTGGTAGGTACAAAGTCTTAATATTGACAGTTATATCCCTCTTTAATCTGATTAATAACGCGTTCTATGACATTGTCAGTGTTTGCTCTCTAAAAGAAACACTCTACCAAGCTATCAAACAGCATTTAAGAGCTAAGATTGGCCTGTACATAGCTTAGCTACATATACATAAAGATAAGCTCCTTTCTTGGATACATGAGAAAGAAATATACTGCCTTAGGGAAGTGGAAATATGCCATGTTCTGTTACTTCTGTAAATGTTGGGAAGTAGACTTCAGTGAGTATTGTTTCTATTAATTCAGATGTGTATGAATTGAAAGTGTTTACATCTGTTTCTTTGCCATTATTCTATATTTCAGAACTTTATTGATAGTATTTATATCCTCTTTGAATTCATTCAAAAAAGGGATGTAAAATCCCAGTTAATCAGTTAACTGGTTAAACTTCACACTGCTCCCCTGCTCCCCAGGTCCTGATTAGCCTGCAGGCGGGGGGAGCACGTGAAGCCTCCTCTTGCACTGAAAGGTGCACATAACATTTGAAGTGCTGCGCGCTCCTCACAGGGTGGGGGAGAGGGCAGAGGAAACTTTGCGTATCACCTCCACCCCCAGGCCAGTCAAGGCTTGCGGGCAGAGGAGGGCAGGAGGAAGTTTTGTGAGCTTCCCTACCCCCAGGCACTAATTGGCCTGCGGGTGGGGAAGTGGCAGGGCCTCTACGGGCTGGATCAACCTGCTTGGCAGGCCAAATCCCATCCCTGCTTTAGAGCAATTCAGTCAGGGATGAGTGCTGCAGGGGAAGGAGGCACTGAGGGAGCTCCGGGGGTGGCAGGGAGAAGCACAGCCAGACCATGCAGCGGTAGCCGGGCTGAGAGGTGCTATCAGAAAAGCTTCAGGACTGAAGTGAGAGTACATAGAGGACATCTGTCAAGATCTGGTAGGAAGTAGTCCAGGGCTGCGAATTGCTCCCCAAGTGTTCAATGTGTTGCAACAGGATTCCCCGCTGCGCGAGCAGTTATCCGTGCCACTGCCAACAGGGCCCAGGGTTGGGACCCAGTGGAGAGGGAGGGCCCGGGTCCCCCTACCACCTCCTTAGATACCTTCACCTGGGGGAGCTTTTCCTGTGATATAGTGATTGAGGCTGCTGGGCTGTAATACCCTGAATATAGAGGCAGATTTATTGACCGAGGCCACTGAGCTGTAATACCCTGAATACAGGGGTAGACTTATGGAATGAGGACTCTGGGTTGTAATATCCTGAATATAGGGGGTGGACATAGTTATTGAGGCTGCTGGCCTATAATACCCTGAAGGGAGAGTCCAGCATATTAACTGAGGCCTTTTGGGCCATTCTGTAAATAGACTGGGTAGCTGCTAGGTCATTCACTTGAAGAGAATAAGTTGGAGGGGCCTCCAAGAGCCTGTCACCCCTCGACACTGATAAACAGTAGCCCTCTGTTCATCTGCCTAAAAAAATATATGTCCAATTAAGGCTTGGTAAAAGCATAGTCATTAGATCGAAAAGCCCTAGTATATCATGATCGTTGATCTTAGCCAGAAGACCACGGTGTTTTTCTTTAATTGTTGCTAGTTGTTATCATTAAGTATTTATTTTTAATACAAAATTATGCAAATTTAGATGCAAAATAAGTGTTGGTGTTCAATAGCATAAAGTTTTGGTTAAGTCTGGGTATGTCTACACTACAAAGTTAGTTCGAACTAACTTTCATAGGCGCTACACTAGCGCTCCGTTAGTTCGAATTTAATTCAAACTAACGGAGCGCTTAGTTCGAACTAGGAAAAACTCATTTTACGAGGATTAAGCCTAGTTCGAACTAGCTAGTTCGAATTAAGGGGTGTGTAGCCCCTTAATTTGAACTAGTGGTAGGCTAGCCCTCCCCAGGTTTCCCTGGTGGCCACTCTGGTCAACACCAGGGAAACTCTTCTGCCCCCCTCCCGGCCCTGGACCCCTTAAAGGGGCACGGGCTGGCTACGGTGCCCGTGCCAGGTGCAAGCATGCCAGCACCCAGCCAGCAGACCCTGCACCTGGCACGGCACAGAGCCACCCACCCGATGTCCCCCAGCCCACCCCCTCTTCCCGGGA